TGGAGGGGAAGGGAGGGGTGGAACGGAGTGCAGTGGAGGTGAGTGGCATGTAAGAGGTGTGGCTGAGGGTGGCTGTGGAAATCGGAATGGAGAGGAGATAGGTTGGGGGCAGTGTGGAGAGGAAGAAAGATGGAGTTAAGCAATTTTAAAGCGACATCGTGGACGATGACGAAATAGAGAAGCAGATACGGGCAGGGTCATCACTACAAAAGTATAGTGATGGCAAAAGGTGGAACCTGGACGCAGGCAGGGTCTGAGGCGTGGGCGATATTAACGACAGGAGCGGGACGGGAGCGATGTCGAGTACTTAGTGTTGCGAGGAGGCCGGCGGTGTATGCGGACTGCACGGTAAGGGATGGGGGTGCGGGCCGGGCAGGGCGGTAGGCGAGGGGGGAGAGGGGGAGAGCCGAGTGCGCTGACGTCAGTCGTAATCTAATGAGGCGGCTACACGGCGCGACGGCGCGAGTGCGTCGGCTCGTTGCGTCCCGACGGCTCGGCGCTGGGAGCGAACCGCCCACCAGCTGTGCTGCGCGCCTTCAATTCAAAGCTTCGTTCTCTCTCTTTTCCCACACTAATACATTATAATCCCACAAGGAGTCGAATGAAATAAGACACTGACCAACGAATTAAGTGAAAGCCATTTTCCTGACTTTTAGTGAACCTTTCAACAAAACCTCCAGCCTCGTTCCGATAGTCTCTTTCTTTGGCACAATATCAATAGTGTCACCTTGAACAAAATTTTTAAAGATAAATTTATTTTATGACAAACTATTTCTCTTTGTATTCTATTTCGTTTCAACGTGCAATAATGAAACATTATGATTTACTGAAAATATTAACTCTACAAGTAGCAAAGTTTTTGTACCAATCTTCAAGGTTTCTAACCCGAGTAATTTTATTTGTCCTTGTCATTCGCTACGATAAATAGCACTATGTTACGTCTGATATTCGGCATTTATAATCAAGAGTATGTAAAAGAATTAGGTATTAATGATGTTAACTGTTAACCCTTGATGGAAAATATAGCATCGCAAATAAATGTGCTAAGGGATAAAGGAACTTCAAAACGACTGTTGACGAAAATTAAGCGAATTATTCTGAAATATTTCTTAAGATTTTGTTAAAGATATGAACATGAGCTTCTCCCGGTCTGTTCCACAGTAATTTCATTCAGTCATGTGCAACTAGGTTCACAGATGTACCAATCATTGTGTGAAATAAAACATGTCTTAGTGGAGTATTTAGTGTATCAATAACGCCAAAAGTTAGTGTTCTTTGTTGTGATACATCTTTTCCAGCCAAGAAAAACCCACAACAAATTAAAAGAAATATTCGAAAAAAATTCCAACCAAAATGTTTCTTTTGATTATTAATAATTCAAAAGTGCGTGCGGAGTCATAGAATATTCTATTGAGAAAATCAATCTGATGGTCTATACTTGTTTCAATAGTAAGAGATATTTTGATTTATTTTTCTTATCTTGATGGCATTATTCAGAAAAAGGAAACAAAATAATTTCATTATACAAACAAAACAAGCAACATTAGAGCTTTAGTAATGAATAAAATATCATTTACTTTGAATACCTTTCACCCAGCAATTTGAGTAATGCTTTCATCATAACGTATTTAAATTTTTATAAAATGCACTGTTATATTTTCCATTCAAAATAATAAAGAATAACTAAAACGTTTCATTTTAATACATTCTGATTGCTCCGACAAAGCAACTAAAATAACAGACAAACTCTGAAGCGATGTATGAACAAATGCAATGTATAATATGTTCCAATTCATATAAATAATAGTACTTTTAATATTCTACCTCAACAATCCTGATAATATTGTTACAATACTTCAGAACCAAATTCATAAAGGAAACTTACCAGAAACGTTGAGGTGGCGGCTGACGTGAATTTTTGACAGATCACAGAATACACTTCTAAACTGATTATCACTGCACTTCCACATTTATGTAATTTCTCCTCAAGAAATTGTTTTTCACTGTTTACAAGATAAAGAATGTTCTGCCCGAGTACAATTTAAAGAAAACTTCAAACAGGAACAAGGAGACACAAAACTATCACACAGAGACATTTTCAGCACGCGCACTTCACGTTACTTCCCGATCACACTGATAAGAGATTGCAAAGCCAAAATTCCTGCAACCAATCACGGATCACCGGATGGCTCGTAATATTCAACGTCATAACCCGCCAATTCAAAATCTTCTTCCTCTGCTATTAAACCAGATTCGCAATTGAATATTTGTGATCAAGAAAAAAATGAGAGGTTCCTGCCTATGGTTATTTCTGACATGGTTATACAGATAAGAAATTCAGAATAATTCAGAGAAACCTGCGGATAATTACATTTTTTCATTTCACAATTTGTAAAAATCATAGTTTTCTTTTATCATTTCCTTTTTACCACATAATCCGAATTCAACGAAAGAGCTAACATATTTAATTTATTTCAGTATTATACAAAAGTATTATATTTGCCAACCTTGAAATGTGTGCTACTTTTGGAAAACAGTTTTCTTTAGTTTTCTTCAGTAGCATTTCTGCTTCTGTAGGCCACTAGCATTATACGAATTGCTAAGTTTTCATGGCGTGTACTTATCCGCATTGCGCATAATTAAGACGATCTGTGCTTGTTGATTAAACAAGACCGATTTACTTTTTACATTAGTTCTGTTTATTGTCTACTCAAAAACTGGTAGTTAAATGCACGTGGACAGCCAGCTAGTTATTGTCGACGTTCAGACGGTCGCTGACTTGAGTCATACACTTAAAAGAGAATATGAACATAGATGGGGAGCTGTCATGTCCGTCCGTTCAATTCAACTATCAAATCTGAACTGAGTTATTTATGCAGTAAATATCTAAGGCTAAGTTCATAAAGTGGAGTCTGAAAATTAAACAATGAACAAATATAGTTTTAATATTAACCCTGTTGGACATAATTTCATATGTGAATTAGTCCTAATAAATACAACTCGCGCTTTGGAAATTCTCACATAAATCCCCTTCGTGAGTCGGGGATTAATCGACAATTTTGAAAGCACTCGTGGTATTATCTATGAGAAATGCTCGGACAATTCGTGGACTCATCTAGTTTTTCTATAAGGTCCGATCATCATTAGTTTCTCCAAGAACACCCGGACCTTTTTCTCGTTAAAAAAAAAATGCAGCGGCTCTCTTATGGTAGAGCAGGCCGCATTAAGTGCAACCGCACATACCAACCAATGGATGAAAAACTAACGACGTCCCTACGCCCCATAAAGCGCTTACTTTATAGGCCATACGTGCTTTTTCTGGGCAAACACGCAGTAATAAAATGTGCGTGGTGGGAGATGGAACTGCTTGGATCGCGTGTGCGTGACTTCTCTGCTGCCAAGAGGCCTATTATAAACGAGGTCCTTCGTTCAGCGGAAACAGGGTCACGACAGCCGCAAAGGCGCACTGAAATCCTTTGACGCACTTCCTGAATAGTAAGTGCGCCATTGAGTGTGTCTATTTTTGATACGCGGCAGCGTCGAATTCGGTTGAACGAAGTTTTTCGTTGTTTTTTTTGAAGTTCTGGCTCGAAACGCTTCCGCGTGAAGAGGGATTACAAATTTACGAGTTGGCATTAGGAATATCGCTGATTGCTCGTCAAAGAGCGTTTGATATCTACTAAAGTCATAAACTGTCATAAATGAGGAAACGGTTCCCATAAGTCATTCCTTTTGAACCAGTTTTTACTTCCAAGATAAACAGCTAATTTGTCAGATAAAAGAACTAATGGGGAAAATCGTCTTTAACTTCTTTTGAACGTTTTGCAACGTACAGGATAACGTACAGGAGTTGTTAAACATTTTATTTTAAATTTTCAACTTTAAATGGATTCTTTATTACAAAAGGGTCAAGAAATAGCATTTGATTTAATTTGAAAATTCTTTAAAAATAGTTTCATTTGGATTACGTATATCTATCGCGTCAATTGCTATGCTCAGTAGTCCTGTAAATGTAGTGAATTATGTTTAATACAGGGCGTGGCCGTATGCTGACACCCGCTGGATGCTGACACCCGCTGGATGGTGAAATGACTCAATAGCGTGGCTGTGCCGCAGCCGGGATAACCTCGAAGCTCCCGACTGACCTCCCAAGATGTGTAGTAGTATAGTGCATATGAATGTAAGCGTGTGTACGGAAGGGTGAGGGTAGGTCAAGGAATAGGAAGGAATTATCGCGAGCGGTCCGTAGTCACTTTGTTAGAGTAGAGCATTCACCTGCTGTTGATCGGACAAACCATGGAAAATACTGTTCAGAGCAGACGGCTACCATATTTCTCCCCTAGACAGACACTGACCCAGCTATCTAGCTAGTGCTAAATGCCATCATCGGGACTCAACCCTAGGACCTTCCAGTCAGAATCACTGCAGTGTCATCAGTTGGTGCACTCAGCCACCTCATCCGGTATATTAAACACTTACTGTTATCTTTTCGTTTATTCATTTATTATCATGGACTCGTGTCTATACAAAATAATATAAATTGGGTAATACACTTTTATTTAATGGTTTCCGAATGAACGATCTAGATTCTACATTTTTAGAGACATAGCTTTCTAGGGGTGAAATCCTTCATGATCATCAAGTACCTCTCTTAACTTAAAGGTTAATCATAATAACTGTACGAAATAATCTTAAATGATTTTTATATTATTTATTATGTTTTTTTGTTCACTTCATATCCACAAATTTCTCGACACATATGGGGGTTAGAACAACACACATGAAAAGACACTTTCGGAGCAGTCTGTTGTGTGAATGATGATGGACGAACGGCCACTTTCATCAGCAGCGCAAGAAACAAGCCTCCTTCAATTAGACTTTAATTGGCAGTCCGTGACTCGCGAGCCAACGACTGGTGCGCCTGCGGTGACTTCCCTTGCAGCTACCAGTGCCCCCAATACGGGCAATGGATCACAGAGCTCCTCACTCATCGTATTTCACATGTTCTATTTCTGTTGGGTGCAATAAGAAACAAACCAGAATCAGTATTTTTAAAAACCGAGGGAGGTGGCAGAATTTTTTTAATATATATTTATTAATGAACCAATATACATAGTTCAGTATCATATGCACTACATCATATGTATTTTCTGACTTAATATTTAACTTAAATGCTAATCTTACAATTGTATCGAACTACACATGAATAGGAAACTCACAGAGCACCTATGGGATTAGTTCAGTTCTAAAAATATTATGAGGAATGAATCTAATGGGTATCTTTTTTTATTCTAGTTGGGAGCTGGTAGGTGGTGGCTAAGTCGTAATGGGTTACACGGGTTATTGTGTTTATTTTGAAGAAGAAAATTTTAGGTAGGAGCGCAATATGGTGAATTATAGAGAGTAAATTCAATTCTTCATGCATTTGAATGTTTGAGATGTACCAAGGTGCATGATCTGTAATTGATGTTAGTTTCAAAGGCGTTGAATCGGATAAGGCATGCATAAAGCATTAGGGGTGTAATTATTGATGTATAGCTGGTGATGGTGTTATTTAACGAGAACTTACTATTGCGATTTAAAAGTGGCTTCAGTTGAATTAGTTTTATTTTGGCTTGCTGTGTTTTTATTGTTATATGATTTTCCTAATTTAGTCTAGTGTGGCGTCGTTAACACGAGGGCCAGAACCGTTAGGTTGGTGAAAGTACGCTGCGGGGGAGG